ATGGCCACGCCGCACTCCCTTCTCCTCCATTCTCCTCTCGGGATCCTGGGCACGCACGCACACGGCGTGAGTTTTAAGCCACCGGGTCCGGGACGTGAACCGCAGTCGACTACATGGGAGTCCAGCGACATAGCCATTACGCCAACTGCTGGTTCCCTGCATGGTTTTCTTATGTAAAATAACAGGTACTAATGCATATGAGATATGTATACTAAGATGTGTTGTACATGTTATTGATATATGTATACTTACCAATACACTCTCTATGTATCAGTATTTAAAATTTACAGCAAGATACTCTCTAAGCATTTGGAATTAAAAAAAAAAAAAACTGTCTCCTGAGAACTAAGAGGCAAGATGAATGTATGCAGAGTGGAGATGGGTAAGATGGGCAGTCACTGGAAGGGAAGAGGCTCCCTGCTCTCCCTGGGCAAACTGCTTCCTCTCCCTGCAACCTCTATGTCTTTCATTGCTTCAGGTCCCAAGTCCAGAGTTCTATCTTGAGAGAAGCCATTTCTGATCTTCCTGTAGGTCAAATCCCCCACTATAGCATCTGGACCTCTTAGCACTGATCACATTAAACATTTGTCAGTACAGGACTAGAATCTGTTTCTTTTACCACTGTGTGATCTACAAGGGAAGAGGCTTTCATGTTTTTTGTTACCATTGTCACCCAGATGGTGGCACAGGGGTAAATCATGCCACTGTGAGGCAACCCCATATAGGAAGGTTCCTGGTTCAAATCTCCCTGAGTACTCTAGGCACACTCTTGGCTATGATCCAGGGTTGGCTGGAGGTTGGGGGTTCTCTCTCTCTCTATCTTCCTGACTCATGGAAGAAGTAAATAAGTTTTTTTTTTTTTGTAAAGTTAAAAAGCTGAACTCTCTACTGACTTCTGCAATTATGTATAGTAGTCTCCCACCCTACTCTCCCATTAGCAAGTTTGCTTTTGGTGGTTTTAGTTATCCTCAATCGCAGTCTAAAAATATCACTAGAAAATTCTACAAATAAACTGTTATTCCTAGAGGGAGAGATTTTTGTTATAGGGCTCATGCACACACCAGAGAAACAGAGAGGCAGAAAGCAAGAAATCACCCCCTGGGGGGATGGCCATGTTGTAATCCCTTCTCCTCCATTCTCCTCTTGGGATCTTGGGCACACAGGCACCCAGCATAAGTTTTAAGCCATTGGGTCCGGGACTTAAACTGCAGTCAACTACATGGGAGTCCAGCAACATAACCATTATGCTTTCTGCTGGTCCCAACAATTCAATTTTTTTAAAATTTTGTAAGAGGGTACACATGCTCTCCAGACAGAGAGAGAGAGAAAAGGGGAATGGTCATATTGTCATCCCTTCTCCTGCATTTCTCCACCTTGTCGGGATTGGGGGCATGTACACACACACACACACACACACACACACACGGCATGTTTTTCAAGTCACTGGATCTCAGATTCAAAAAGTGCAGTCAGCTAAGTGGGATCTGGCTCCCTTAATCGACAGGCCATGGGTGGCCCAACAATTACTAAGTTTGAAATTGACAGCCATGTGAGTAGCATGATGAACTCTCCCACTCCACAGCTCTGCGCCAGCGTTTCCATGCTGGGTATCCTACCCACCCATCTTAGTAGCCATCTTGGTTATCAGATCCCCCATCATGGTATCACTGAGTTTGTGTTCAAGGCACCCTTATTTCACTTACTGGTTCAAAAGCGCAAGTAGTGATGTTGGCATACTGCTATAGTTGTTCTAGTTTATCATTAGTTATTATTGTTAATCTCTCAGTGGGCCTAATTTATTAACTAAACTTTATCATTTGTATAAGAAAAAACATAGGGGACAGCTGTGGCCTGGTGGTTAAGGGAGCTAGTTTTTTTTCTCTTTCCTTTTTTTTTTGGAAAGGTTTTTGCTATAGGGCGTGAAAGCTCACCAGAGACAGAGACAGAGAGACAGAAAGTGAGAAATCACCCCCCAGGGGTGATGGCCACCGCAATCCCTTCTCCTCCATTCTCCTCTCGGGATCTTGGGGACCCACGCACACGTGCCTGGCGCCAGTTTTAACCACCAGGTCCGGGACTCCAACTGCGGTCGCTACATGGGAGTCCAGCACCATAGTCATTAACTGCTGGTCCCCAGGGAACTAGTTCTCACATGGCCAACCGCTGCTGGACCCCAGGGAACTAGTTCTCACATGGCCAACCGTGTAGTTCAAATCTCCACCCCAGCAGCTTGAAAAACACACTGGGTGTGTGTGATCATGACAGTACAGAGAATGGATTGTGGTATGACCATGCCTCCCTGAAGGTGCTTTTCTCCTTTTCCTCTCTCTTTCTGTCTCTGGCAAGCACATGTGCCCTCATGTGCCCTCTGGCAAAAGAGAGAGAGAAGGAAGAAAGTAAAGAAAGAGAGGGGGCAAGAGCGGGAACGAACAGACTACATTCGGGTCAGTACTACTTCCACCAGGAGTCTTAGAACTTAACCTTTGAACCGTTTGCACACGCACGCATTTGTGCCCTTTCTTATCAAGGATTACATTTTTATTTTTAGGTAATTATTTATTGAATTCGATGTGTTATTTTTCATTTGACCAGAGACAGAGGAAAGGCAAGAAAGCAAGCAGCCAGGCCCAAGACTCGAACTGCGGTCGGCCATGTGGGAACCCCGCGCCACCTGCCCGCCCCTGGAGGAGTCACTTCTGCCTTTTGTCGGATCCCTCCGACCCCCGCCGGCAGGGGCAAGCCTGGCCTTCCGCGCTCACTGGTTTCCCCGAACTCCTCGCTCCGCCGAGATGCTGCGCAGTGTCGGGATGGCTGCTGGGACTTCCCAGGCCCATCACTTCTAAGAAAAGGTGCCGTTAGGTTCCCCATGCGAGAACTACGGTTCTGTTCCCCCAAAGACGTGGTCCCCCGGTGCAGATTTCCGCAAAGCTGCAGAGCTCAGCCCGTTCCTGCGGGTCGCTGCGCAGCCCACAGACGAGGCGTGGTTACACCGTAAGTCCGCCGGCCGCGCCCGGATACACGGCCCCGAGGGCAGAGGGGCCTTCCTCAGTCCCCGGTTTCCGCGCCAAGGCTCACTTTCGGCCGCACTCGGATTTTTTTATTTCACGGTTGCCTGCCCGAGAGCTCCACCGTGTCCCCTGAACAACCTCCCGCCGCTCAGGGGCGCCCGAGAGCAGCTGGCCCAGCCCAGGCCGGTCCGTGGCGGGAAAAGCGCGCCCTTCTGAGAGGGCGGGGCAAGTGGGGTCACGTGGGTCTCCGGCGGCCAATGGGGAGCGCTCAGCGCGGCGCGGAGGCAGAAGGCGGGACTCGCGCGCCCCCAGCGGCCTGCCGGGCCTTCCCGAAAGGCGGGGTCCCTGGGGTGCCGCGCTTGCAGCGTCCTGAGTTCCTCCGCAGGCGGTTACTCCGTTTTAGGCGTTCTCGACACCGTCCTAACAGCTCGGGGACGGTGTCTGCACATCCCCCATTCCTTAGCGGCATCTTAACTCTCCGCTGCCCCGGGGACCCCGCGGCGGGTCTTCTGGGAAGGAAATGGGATCCCGGCTCGAGCTGTTGTGATTTCAGAAAATGCACAGAATAAAGTTCCCGCCACAGTTAGGTTAGGGCGGTGGAACGAGCTCTGCACACGAAATCCGACGTGGAGATGAGGTGGTGGGCTGATATCTACTAGTTAAACGTGGCCGCGTAACTAGCTACCAGTTACAGTCTGCCTCCGCTTTGGAAGCGACGCTGCGGTTAGAAAAGCGCTTTAAGTAAACCGGGCAACGCCCAGAGGGCAGATTGAAAGATTCCCATCAGCGCCCCAAGCAAGGACTTTCTGACGATCCAGCGGGATAGTGAGCGCGAAAACATGTTGGAAAGGGTCTACAATAAAATTTAAATTCTGGAATAATGGCAGTAGTTACGCAACTTCGTGAATATGCTAAAAACCACTGTATTGTGCACTTTACAAGAGTGAACTTTACAGTAGGTGAATTATATGTCAATGAAATAATTAAGCTCTAGAAGGTGTTCATACGAGACAAAAATCTCAGGCTTTGATGAGTAACTGTTGACAACAGCACCGATGAAAAATTCCCGTATTGTAGTTCATTGTGTTCTGTCTAGGAAATGAATACCATATTTGGTGTGGTGGCAAGAGGCTACCTACCAGGACACTGGAAATTTCTACTTTTCTCAATGGCATGTAATTCTTTAAGCAATTTCAAATTAAAGTTAATAATCCCTTTCAGGTGCCTAGCATATTTTTTAAGAGGTTTTTGCTATAGGGCACGTGCGCTCGCCAGACAGACAGAGAGAGACAGAGAGACAGAAAGCGAGAAATCACCCCCCAGGGGGATGGCCACGCTGCAATCCCTTCTCCTCCATTCTCCTCTCAGGATCTTGGGCACGCACGCACACGCGCCTGGCTTCATGGTCGACTACGTGGGAGTCCAGCGGCATAGCCATTATGCTAACTGCTGGTCCCAGCTTATTTTTAATCTGAAAGTCTAAGGCCTCATAAATTTAATCCCAACAGTTCCTTTAACACTCTTCTTCAAAATAAAAGACTTAGACTTTCCAGCATTCTGGAACATTTAGCAGTCACACATTTTTTGCAAAACAAAATTTCAAGCTTATCTTTCCTTCACGATCTCTCTGATATTAGCAAAGTCAAAAAGGTATGTAACCTGAAGGTTTCTTACCTTAATAATGCAGACATTGTCAGGTCCAGTTTAAAGACAATTTTTTAAGAAAGATAAACTTGACCTACTTTGGTGATTTGGGATCATTTTAATTAGTTGTCGTATCAGTGATTCAGAGCTAATAGAAACTAAGATTCAATGCCATGAAGCGAAGTCAGTTTTAGATTTTTACCACCTAAGAACTTGAATGAAGAGATTTATTTCGGTCTTTTTACAGTTAATTCTGAAATAATTATGCTCAGTTTAAAATTCTCAATACCAAGAAAAATATATGCTAAATAGAATACATGTCTTGGTTAATGCAAGTAATAATCTCACCTGGGTTCCTCGACATGGCTGATACTGTCCAGAAGCTGACAAGTTGGGTCATGTATGCCTTCTGAAAACTGCATTTTACCCACAATGATTTGCAACAATTTGTTACTTTGGGAGATGGATTCAGAACTTCTTTAGGTTCATAAACAAAGCCATTGTGCTTTTTCTTCGTCATGTTTTTTTCTATTGAAAAATATATTTTCAGAGGATTTTCCCCCACTTCTCAGCAAATATTTGATTTTAGATGAATTCAGATGCTTTAAAAACATGAGCAGCCCCTATTCTACATATAAAAGGGTTACAAATTTAGGTGGAACAGGGTGATATCTAAAGTCTATTTGGGGGGCCAACAGGTAGTGTGGTGGTTAAAGTGCTTGACTCCCCCGCAGGGTCAACCACAGTTGAGTCCCAGACCTGATAGCTTGTTTTCTCATTTTCCCTCTCTCTCTGTCTCCCACTGGTGAACATATGTGCAAAATTTTACAGCAAACTTTAAAAAAAAATAATAAATAAAAATTTAAAAGTAAAAATAAAAAGCATAAAGTCTATTTTAATTTAGTTAAAATATATCTCTTTCCCATTTTTAGTTTTTCTATAGATCATATGTGCTCAGTGGAGACAGAGAAAGTGAGAAAATACCCCCCTTGAACCCCCTGAGGAATGCCCACAGTGCAATCACTTCTCTTCCATTTTCCTCTTGGACTTTTCAAGATGCTGGGCTTGGGACTTGAATCTTACAGTAGTCGTGTGGGATACAGCTGCCCTAAACACCACACCACCTGGCTGGCCAAATTAAAACATCTTTCTGCATAGCTCAATCTTTAGATCTGCTACCCTATCCCACTTCCCATCTCCCATTAGTTTTTCTTCATCTTTTTGATAGCCACATTCCATCAGAGGAATATAAACGGGAAAACATAGAAAAAGAGAGACAAATTAGTGTAGCCAAAAAGAAAATAGATCAAAACCTAGAGAGGTGGAGGGGCTGGAGATGAAACGTGTTCTTTGTCACACTTCATTGTGTGTGTGTTTCTTCACTAAAACTTTTTTTTTTTTTTGGAGAGGTTTTTGCTACAGGGCACGTGTGCTCGCCAGAAAGACAGAGAGAGACAGAGAGAGAAAAATGAGAAATCACCCCCCAGGGGAGATGGCCATGCCACAATCCCTTCTCCATTCTCCTCTTGGGATCTTGGACACGCATGCACACGTGCCTGGTGTGAGTTTAAGCCACCGGGTCCAGAACTCGAACTGTGTTCCACTACATGGGAGTCTAGCAACATAGCCATTACGCTAACTGCTGGTCCCTAATTAAATAATTCTTAAAAAAGAAAAAAAAAAAGGAAAGAAAGAAAAGAAAAGAAAAAGTGAGAAGAGACTGGCTCCAGGGCACAGCAAGAATGCACTGCTCAAGAGAGGCAGATATCCCCACATGGCAACCGCAGTTCTAATCCCTGGCTGGGTCAGCCTGAAACAAGTGGGTGGATCCTATTGGCTGAGGACTGAGGGCTGGAGGAAGGAGATCATGGCAGGACTAGACTCTGTGGGGAGTGTTTCTCTCTCCCCTTTTCTCACTCTATCTCATTCTCTAGTGCAGGCACACACACTGTGGCATGAATAAAACAAATAAAATATTTAAAAGAGAAAAGTAAAAGGTGTAATTTTTTTTCTTTTTTCTTTTTTCTTTTTTTTTTTTTTTTTTTTTTTTTTTTGCCAGAGGGCACACACGCACACCTCAGAGGGAGATAGAGAGAGCACAAGATAACCCCTCAATGGAGCCTGGTCACACCACAATCCTTTTTTCCTCCTTTGTCAAGATCCTGAGCACAGGCCCATGAGCCTGGCCTGTTTTTCAAGCCCTAGAGTCTGGGACTAGAACTGAGGTCAGCTATGTGGAATCTGGCTCCCTCTGTACAGCAGTTAACTGTTATGCTGTAAGAGTACAAGTGCTTGGGACCAGCAGGTGGCATAGTGATTAAGGGTGTTATACTCCCACGTGGCCAACAAAGGTTCAAGTCCTGGAACTGGCGGCTTGATTTCTCTCTCTCTCTCTCTCTCTCTCTCTCTCTCTCTCTCGTGTTCCTCTTGGGTCAGATTAAAATAAATAAATAGGGAACCAGCAGTTAGCGTAATGGCTGTCGCTGGACTCCCACATAGTCGACCGCAGTTCGCGTCCCAGACCCGGTGGCTTAAAACTCACGCTGGGCGCGTGTGCGTGCCCAAGATCCCGAGAGGAGACTGGAGGAGAAGGGATTGCGATGTGACCATCCCCCCTGGGGGGTGATTTCTCGCTTTCTGTCTCTGTCTCTCTCTGTCTGTTTGGCGAGCGCACACGCCCTATAGCGAAAACCTCTCCAAATAAATAAATAAAGTTAAATAAAATAATTCTTAAAGAATAAATAAAGAGTACAGTGTTTAATCAGTGTACTATAAAACTAGCCCTGGGACCCAGCTGGTGGCATGGTGGTTAAGACACTTGAACTCTCATGTGGTTGACCACAGTTTGAGTCCCCGACCCAGGGGCTTGAAACTCACATTGGGCAATTGTGCATGTGTGCCTAAAATCCTGAGAGGAGAATGGAGGCAAAGGGATCGTAGTATAGCCATCCCCTCTGGCAATTTCTTGCTTTCTGTCTGTCTCTCTCTGTCTCTCATGAGCACCCTAGAGCAAAAAAAAATAAACTGACCCTGAAATTACTTTTAAAGATCAATTTGATTTAACCCGATATATCTTAAAATAAATCCAAATGTTATCATTTAAAGATTGTAGTTAATATGAAATCATTACTAAAATAGTTTACACTCTCTAATGTAAGTCATGGAGATCTGGTTTGCATTTTGCACTAACAGAACACAATGGCTATATATAAGATAATGCGATATAATACAATACTGGACAGCACAGCTTTAGAGGGAATAAATGAGAACTTCGAAGAAATGACCTTGAGAAAGAGGCTGAACAGCTGCCTCAGCTAGACAGACAAGGGGAAAAAGGGCACCCGCAGAATTCTGATTAATTGCTGCGGTTTGAACATTTGTCCCCTCCAAGCTCATGTTGAACTTAGTCGCCATTGTCGTTTTGGGAGATGGGACTTTTAAGAGGTGATTAAGTTGTGAAGGTGCTGCCCTCATAAATGGATTAATGCTATTTTCTTAGGAGTGAGTGAGTGGATTTCTGATAAAAGGATAAGTTTGGCTCCTTTTTCACTCATCTCACTTTTGCCTTCTCTTGCCCTTCTGCCATTTGCCTTGGGATGACACAGGATAAAGGCCCTCGCCAGATGCCAGCACCATATGCCAATGCCATAATCTTGGACTTTCCAGCCTCCAGAACTGTGAGTCAAGTGAGTTTCTGTTCTCTATACTTTACCCAGTCTATGGGTAGCACAAAATGGACTAAAACACTCATCATTTTTCAAATGTACCCCTGTTTTTCCAGTGTAGAAAGTTATTTCAATATATTTATTAAATTTGTAATTTAGGGGCTAGCTGGTGGCTAGTGGTTGGGGCATTTAGATCCTACATGGCTGACTATGCAGCTCAAGTCCCAGACCCAGTGGCTTGAGAAATGTGCCATGTACTTGTGTGTGGGCCCAAAACTCCCAAGAGGAGAATGGAAGAGAAGGGATTGCAGCATAGCTATTCCCCAACTGGCCCTCTCCCTTTTTAAAAAAAAAAAATTTTTCTATAGGGCACATGTGCTTGCCAGAGAGAGACAGGGAGAGAAGGTGGTTGCATGGTGGTTAAGACAGCTGGATCCCGCATCGCTGACTGTGTGGTCATGGACCCCACAGCTTGAAAAGCATGGCAGGTGCATGTGCATTCATACCCAAAGTCCTGAGGGAAGAACGGTGAAGAATTCTGGTGAGATTGCGGCGTGGCCCTTCCGCCTTGGAGGTGACTTCTGTCTTTCTATCTGTCTCTCTGACTCTCTCCAGCAAGTGCACATTTTTCTATAGCAAACTAAAAATAAATAAATAAAAATTTCAAAATTGTAATTTGGGCCAGCATAGTGAGAAGAAACTGAGAGATGAAATGTTGTAGGTTCCTGAGTATTTTTGGTGCTTTAGGCGCTGGTCTGATATCTTTAAGAAATCAGTATTGGGCCAGCAGGTGGCGGTTAAAGTGTTGGACTCTCACATGATTGACTGCAGTTAGTCTTTTTTTGGGGGGGAGAGGTTTTTGCTACAGGGTGCATGCGCTCGCCAGACAGAAAGAGAGAGACAGAAAGACAGAAAGTGAGAAATCACCCTCCAGGGGGGATGGCCACGCTGTAATCCCTTCTCCTCCATTCTCCTCTCGGGATCTTGGGCACGCATGCACACGTGCCTGGCATGAGTTTTAAGCCACCGGGTCTAGGACACGAACCACAGTCAACTACATGGGAGTCCAGTGGCATAGCCATTACGCTAACTGCAGTTGGATTCTTAGACCTGGTGGGCTTGAAAAATCAATGGAGCCAGCCTCGAGTGGTGATTAAGATACTGGACTCTCACATAGTCAACCACCGTTTGAGTCCCAGATCTGGCAGTTTGTGTTCTTACTTCCCTTTCTCTTCCTCTCTCTCTCTCTCTGTCTCACTCTGATAAAGGAAAATAATAATAATAATAAATGCAATTAAAATAAAATTTTGAAAAGGAAAGAAAATCACGCTGGGTGCATGTGCGAGCGTTCCCAAAGTCCTGAGAAGAGAATGAAGGAGAAGGAAGGGATTGTGGCATGGCCATCTGCGTGGGGGGTGATTTCTCACGTTCCCTCTCTCTGCCTCTCTCTGTTGAGCACAAGCACTCTATGGTAAAAACCTAAAATAAAGAAAAATCAGTATTATGGGTGCGGTAAAAATGGTGGACAGATTAGGGCACTGCTATAGAATAAAAGAGGCTAAAGAGAGAAGAAAATAAAATGCAAATATGAACCATCCCAGGAAAAAGAGCCAGAGAGGAGAAGGGGTTGTGGTGTGACCATCCCCCCAAGGAGGTGATTTCTCACTTTATCTCTCTCTCTCATGTGCTCTATAGCAATAGTTAAAAAGAAAAAGTTATGTATAATTTAATTTCTTGCAGATTCAGCCTCAAACATTGACATTGTGTGTGTTTGCATCCTTCTAAGAATGAGAATCCGGGGCCAGCAGATGGCGTAGTGGTTATCGTGTTGTACCATCACATGGGTGACTGTGGC